GTTGCATGCTAGCAATACCTAAAAACCACTTTAAACCTCAATGCTGCTTCAGTAAGTGCTGCAGCAAGAACAAAGTTTCTTCTATGTACTGAAACTGTGTTTGTATGGGGTGGGGAGGTGTATGTTACACTTAGATAGGATTCCAAAATATGCCCTGATCGTGAAACTTGGTAATTCTGTTCTAAAATATTTATTACCTGCATAAAAAATGTCACATATAAAGGGTTTTAGCAATATCACACAATGAATGCCCGAAAATGGTAAATAAATAAATAAAAACGAAGCAAGCCAGGTAAAATTAAATTGTAGTAGGAGCATTTTCAGTGGTAATTACAGGAGTCTGTCATTGCTGAACTTAGAGTAATAGAGGCAAATGTCAAGAAATTCAGCAGTCACATGGCAGTTAATGAATATGAATGGAACATATTGTACAGAGACTGATCAGGTCTTTATGACTCATTTAAAATAAGATTAGTTTCAGGTTTAAACCAGAAATTCAATTAATTTGTAGTATAGAAAGGATACTATGTATGTTACTCAAATCTATTGTCCACACTGCCTTTTGTTTCCAAAATTAGAATTTTGAGACTCCATGGGGGTTGCTGTCTTTTAGTTTGTTACTTATAATCTAAGTGGTTAAACTGTAGCTGAAGATCAGCCAGAAAACTTGATACAGTATTTTTCTCCTCTTCAGAAACAAAAGTGACTAAATACTGAAATGTTTTGAGGATAAGAGTATACAAACAATATATGATCCTCATATTCCTGAATGTTTCATTTAACTATTTTCAACCAGCATGAAACATTTTGACATTTGTGGAAAGACACATTGCATTTCAGTTTGTCAGATCAAAGACAAATGTTTCGCTTGGACTTAGTTTTTATGTGTACCCTTGAGCTGTTCAACAGCTTCCTGGCATTTATACTCCATGCTCCAGTTCTTTCATGTGCTGAGTCCCTAACCCAAGTTGTGCTGACTTCAATGGTAAAGACATTTCTGCATCTGTAAGTATAACAGTGCATTGTTTTTGTCGGAAAGCAGAAAAACATTGGCAAAATTGTTTCCTGTGGAAAATGTAACTTTTACAGAAACAGCATTTTCCATTGAAACACCACATTTTTAGAAAACTTCCAACTAACTGCACATAAAGTATATTTCAGGAGTGTTATTTATGAAATCTATAAATGCTAGCATCTATTTTTTATCCTAAATAATTTTGATTACAAAAACTTTTCAGACAGCCAGTATAGATAAAATTAATTTGGCTTTCATGTATAGGATATATTTATCATAATTTAATTATAATTTCAGTATTACATTGTTAATTATACAACAACATAAAGTGTTATGGTGCATTATGGTTCTTTTGCATTACTCCAAATAGTGAAAGTCCATGAGTCTGCAGATTATTGCAAAGGGGAGAAGAAACCAGCGACAAAGTGAGCAATCATTGTAATGCAGTCACACGAAATTACAAGGAATACACAAGGTCTTGTGTTGCTGGACAAAGGAGGTATTAAAATTGCCAGAGGTGATGCCCTTACTCAGAGCTGTAGGCTTCTTTCACCCTTGCCTCCCACCCCAGTTCTTTGATTTCTTTCTGAAGCATACTTTTGGGTAGCTGTGTGCTGGGTTTTGAACACAGCTCCAAGCCACGGAGGCACTGAAGCCAAACAGCTTTGATGTGAGCCTGTGCTCCATCTCAGCTTGAGGGAATCCTCTGAAGGTTGGTAAACTGGGATGTGTGGTAGTCCCACCCACTGACTGGGCAGCACCATGGTATGCAGGCCAGGAAGCACATTTACCAATTTACACCATGTTTACCTTGTGGGAACATGAGAAGCCACCTTGGAACAGAAAAAAGCGTCTGTCTCCCTCCCCTGCTGCAGCTGGAGTGGTGCACAGCAAGGCAAAATGAGATTATATCAGAGAAGCTGTAGGTGATTTACTTGCTTTTCTTCAAGGACCATGCTTATATGGATTGTTAAGACAAAACTAGAATTTTCCTCTACAGATTTGGGTTGAAACTTCCTGTTCTATCTCTAGGGTGAGTAATTCACGCTATGTGTCTGTTTTTCCGCCCCTCTCCTACAGCTACACAAATAGGCACTCATGCACACATGCTGCATTGGTCAGATGTCTGGGGTTAACCCAGATAGTATGAGCCTCAGATCAAAAGCCTGAGTGAAAATGCTATTTTTGCTGCTGAGGCTTGAGGTGTCTGTTCATAGCACAGACATGAGACTTTATGCACCATTTGCAGGGCTGTGGGAGATAAAACTGGTGCTATTTGGCTTGCAGCTCTCCCAGGTACAGGTACACATGCACAGGCAGTCAATGCCAGGCACAGTTCTCCACACTATTCCTAATTTCTTAGTTTCATATTTACCTTTGTTCTGGCTAGCGACACATGCCTAGTTTGGAGACTTTTTTTGTCTTCTGAGACTGATAACCTTCTTATCAGTTAAACCAAATGAAAGGCCACGGTTACACTTGCTGGTTTACAACAGTTTGTTACAGTTGAGTTGCAGATTGTGAATGAGACTAAAAACTGTGTCCTTTCCATCTCAGGCAATAATGGTATCAGGTTCATCATGATATTTATTTTCCTCCTCTATAACCCAGTTGTGTGAATAAATGAAGAAAACCATATGACATTCAAGACTTCCTTAACTGGTTGTGTAGTCTCAAGTGTCACTTTTCTGAAGTTACCTGCCATCTGGCACTGGGAGCAGGTTTGCCAGGACAACTGCTGAGCAAACACCAACCTTCCTAAGCAGATGGAAATCCAGCAAGGTGGCATAGAAAAAGTATCTGATGATCCAAGCCCCAGCTATCCTTGTGGTCTCAGGTCTCACTCTAATTTCTGTCTTTCCCTTTAAAGCTATTTTTTAGTATTGTAGAAAAGGAGGTTTGGAAAAGGAGAAGGAAGAGAGAAATTAAAACAAGAAAAGCAGATATCCTTGTGGCTCTTCAGGGCCAATTGATTAGCTTATTATGGAAGCTGGTGCAAAGGACATGGAGAGGAGACTGACATTGGCAGCTGATGTGTTTGTGTGGAGGGCTCACTAAAGGCTTCACTAAACCTCAGCACAGAGCTGATGCCCTTTCCCAGCTCCTTCATATGTCCTTATGTCTCTCTCCTGTGTATTAGCTGATGAACATCAACAGCTAAAAACCCTAACACCTTAATAAGATGCTGAGGTCTGCAGCAAGTCATGTAAAAATGCTAAGCCTCTCAATTTTCCAGCCTACCCCTCTGCCAGGGATGGCTGTGTCTGTAGCAGATGCAGGAGAAGGAAATGTGTGTCCATGCATCAGCAGCTGCAGTTCAGGTTCCAATGCCATATCTCAAAACTTGCCTCCACTAGGAAGATGGGCAGTTAGTGGGCAGTGAGTTGGGCTGAGGGTGGTAATGTGCCGTTGTACTTATTCTGGTGTGGAAATGGTATTCCTTGGCAGCCTTCTAAAACAGTAATATCTTACACCAATGCAGGAAGACCAAGCTTTCTGTAGGTTTCTCTTGGTAACAAAGCCAGATTAATGGAATGATCAGATAAGAAAACACACTGATTTTCTATGGATTTATGTTGCAGCAGAGTGAGTTCCCTGAGCTGGTTCGATGCCTGTCCCACAGGGGTGGTGTTGGTGGCACTGCAAGTGCCACACGCTCCGGGGGCAGGGAATGAGCGGCAGGGAATGGGCGATTGGGCAGCAGGATTACCCTTAGCCAGGCAATGCTTCTCAGCTTGGACCTTTATCTGCCGTGTGTGACAAACTTTTACTGATCAACAGCATCACTCAAGGCCGTGAGGATCTTCATCAATAAAACTACATTTCAAATGACTTCACTTGGAATATTTATTAAGCTATAAGGCTGTACATACACACACCTCTACAATTGCTTTACTTGCTTAAGCAGAAGTTATAAATGCCATCAGGACACCAAACATGAAGGCGTTTAACATTTCCATATAACATCAAGAATTCAATAGCACATTGCCAAGTCCTCCAGCACCGCGTAAGGCAGATTTTAGGCAATGTTTAACACAGGAAGGCGCGGGGTGCCGAGGGTGCGGGACCGGCCCGGAGCTGCAGGCACCTGCCGGCGGCACTCCCGTGGATCGGCTTCGCCTGCGGACATGTTTATTAAGTAGATCTATCATCTATCTATCTATCTATCTATCTATCTATCTATCTATCTATCTATCTATCTATCTATCCGCACACACATACATATATACACATCTATATCTATATCTACACTTCATAAAGAGTGTACACTTACATGTATCTATATGAAAAATTTCATATATCTATATGTAAAATTAATATAAACACACACGCATATATATATACTTGATGTACATACATACAAGTACGCGAGGAGCGGTCCCCGGCCAGGTGTCCTCGCCCGTCCCCTGTCCCGCCCCGCCATCTTCCCGCTGCCCGCCGTCCACCCGCCCCGCGCCTCGGCACCGCCGCGGCAGGGACCCCCGGCACTTCCCACGGCTGCGGGCTTCCCACCCGGGCGGGACCCTTTTGATCCGGGCGTTCAGTGGGATGCTGCGCGAGCCCCCAGCCGCGGGACGCGGCGCTGTCGCGACTACACGTCCCGACATGCCGCTGCCTCCCGGCGCGGCGCCGCGGGCACCCACTGCCGCCCATTGTGCTCCAGCCAGGGGAAGCCGCGCTCCTCTCCCTCAGCCTCCCCCTCGCGCGCCAAGTGGTCCCTTCCAGCGCTCCATGAGGCGCCCTTCGGGCGGTCCCATCCATGAGAAACGGAGGGGGGGCCGGGGGAGAGGGCGAGGCGTGGAGCCCAGTCAGCGCTCCCTCGAAGCCCTGCCGGACGGTGATTGGCGTGCGTGGCCGCCAATAGGGCGAGGCGGCGGTCGGGAGAGCCAATGGGCGCGGAGCGTTGCCGGGGCGGGGCGGGGCACAGGGGAGAGGGCGGGGCGCGGCGGGTGCCGCGCGTGCGCGGGGCGGGAGGAGGCGGGCCCGCGTCGTGTCCGTGTCGGCTGCTCCAGGGAGGGTCGGGCGGAGGGAGGGGAGGATGGAGCGGGCGGCCGGGCGGCCGTGAGCGGGGCGGGAGCGGAGCCAGAGCGGGGCCAGCAGGCCGCGGGCAGGCCCGGGAGGGCGAGAGGCGAGGCAGGGAGGGGAAGGAAGGCAACCGGGTGCCGGGTCGTGCGGCGGAGGGGGCTCCGGGCGGAGAGCGGGCGGGCGGCCGGGGCTCCCGCTCCGCAGGGCGGCCGGCGGGGCAGGATGAGCCAGGAGGAGATCCTGAGAAAATTCATTAAGCGAGTCCAGGCCATGAAGGACACGGACCACAATGGGGAGGACAACTTCGCCAGCGACTTCATGGTGAGGGGCGGCGGCGCGGGCGGGGCTCCTGCGGCCCCGGGGCGGGGGGACCGCAGCCCCTTCCCCAGCCCCATCCCCAGCCTCTTCCCCAGCCCCTTCCCGAGCCCCGCCGGCGGGCGGTGTCGGGCCGGGCGGTGTCGCATCCCTGGGGGTGACCGGCTATTGTGTGCCCCGCGGCTCGGCCGGCTCCCTGCGCCCGGCACCGCTCCGGAGCTCGGCGGGGGGAGGGAGGGAGAGTGTCCGCCTGTGTTCAGCCTCCTTCCTGCCCTCCGGCCCCCGGAGGTTTGTCACCGCGGCCCCGGCCCGTCCCCGCTCCTGGGGAGCTGATGGTCATCGGCTCTTGCAAAATTAACCGGGAGGCTCCTCGTCCGCCCGCCGCGCCGCTTCCCTGAGCGCATAAAGGGGGCAGGGGCGAGGCGGGGGGGCTGCGAGCGCTTCCTCGCCCTGGCAGCCCCTTTTCTGCAGGGTCGCTGGTGTCAGCTGGGGATAATCGGGCTCTCCTTCCCCTTTCATCTGCCCCTCTAGCTGCCTGCTTGAGATTTCTCTTCTTCCCGAGGAGATGTGTTAAACGTATTGCTAGTCCTTGGAGGAATATTCATCTTCCCTTCGCTAGCGTCTCCCATCCCCCATCGCAGCCCTGCCTGTATCCCTCGTCCTTTCTTCCTTCCAGATCAGTTCACCGTCAGCCTTTGGTTAACGTGTGCGCTCGGGGAAAAATTCTGTTGGAAAATTAGTGCTTTTCCTGGTTGATTTTAGCCAGGTTTATTTATTTTAATCGGGCTGTGACAGTATCTCGGGAGTTTTATTTTTGAATTGGTCGTCTGAGCTGTGAACAATAATTTTGATTGGGCAGATGTTGCTGGCGCTTTTCAATATCATTTAAATACTTAATATCAAAATGCAGTTTGACCCGAAGGAGAGCGCGTCAGTGCCCTCCGTTTGTGTCTTTGTAACTCGTTTTATTCTGTGCGGCTCTTGGGGATTAAAAGCACATCGTTAGCCCTTTAAGCTGTCAGTCTGTGCTAGTGGTCTGGGAACAAAAAAAATTTAAAAAATCTCAATGTAAGTGTCGCATCGGCGATTGTCCGAAGTGCGGGGAGGAGGCCGCGGATGTTGCGCAAGGCGGAGGGGCGTTGGGAGCGCTGGCAGGTCCAGGGCTGGAAGAGGAAGCGGACTTGGGAAGTAACGAGTTCATCCAGGGTGGGGAGGCAGCCCGTGGGAAATCGGCCACGCTCTTCGGGCAGGATTTTGCAAATGCTAAAAGTATGCTGCTGAAACATCTGAGCGTGTGGGAAAGGAAGAGAGGAAAGTGTGAGGTGAAGAAAGGCGTTGGAGCGATAGGACCCTTTTAAATCTTCACATGAGAGCTTAAAGGTTGCAGAATTTGACAGAAGCTTTTTATTAAGTCATTGTTTTAGTAATATAATTGCTATTTAACACGAATTGACATCTTGCCTTGTACTGATGAGCCTGTCTTGTTCATGTAAATTATATATACTTTACAGAAAGGCTGGCCTAGGCTGCTGCAACATGAGGGACATTATTAAAAATCTCTATGTTAAATACTTTGATCTAGATCTCCTAATCCACCTCTACCATTTAATGTCTGATAGTTATCCTGATGTTTTAGTTTTGTTGTACTCAAATGATATATAATAGACATTTTTATCATCCTTTCTTTGAAGCAGTGGCACCCCTGTATGGAAAAATAGCTTTTGTTTCAATTTCCCTATTTGACAGCATGTTGTTTTTGTAGCTTTCAACAGTATAGACAGTGAGTTTTCCCATTGCTTTCCTGTAGCAGCAAGAAAAGAGAATATGGGTAAAAATGGGAAAATAGGATTTATAGGAACTATTGTACAAGACATTTCAGGAGAAAGATGTATTACCTGAAAGAGTGTTGAATGTTTTGGGGAGATTTGTGTTGAAAATGTCTTTTGTCCTTTAACACTTTGTATTTCAAACTTTCATATTTGATTTTTGTGTGGGAAATTAAAGTAAAACCAGGAAATTAGGATCTTCAGTTCTAATATTCACCTTTATGTAATAAAGCAGACATAGATTAGTGTGATGACAAGAATCATAATTGCTGATTTTAAATTTTTATTTTCACTATGAATGTACTGGGGTATTTTTGGATTTTTGGGGTATGTGTTTTGGGGTGTATTTGGCTGTCTTAACAGAGCTATGCTTAGGTCCTCTTTGAAATGATTGAAAAGGAAGAATGAAAGGGTGATAATGGGGATTTAAATTTCAGTATTCTGTTCAGTTAAAGAATGAGTAGATGTTTTTTGAGGGTTGAGAAGGGAGGAAGTTGTGTTATCTCATTGAGGTGCAGGATGTTCTGTGGCTGTTAAATAGTGGCAAGTTTATGGAATAGGAATTGCTGTTACTCATCGCTTCATTTCCAAGTCAAAATGGAATCTAAAATATGAATGGAATAGTGGGTGAATGCAAATGAAAACAATTCTTTACTTTTAGGTCTTTATTGCCTTTGAATGTGTTGAGTAATAGGCTTAGGGAGTTGTATTTGGGCCCGAGTGAATGAACTAGAAGTAAATGCTGGGTGCCAAGGAGTGCTGGAGGAGAGGGTAGAGAAGCTGGAGGTGTGCACAGGTTGGCTGATAAGCCTGCCTGATTGCTATTGAAAGTCCAGAGTGTAGATGACTAAGACTGCAATTTAATAATGCCATGACATACCTGGAAACAACTTCCTCTTGGAAGGTGGAAAGTTGATGATTACCCACTCCACCAGTGCCTTCCCCCAGGAGCAAGATAAACTCTATCATCTGGGCACCAGTAGCAAGTTTGTTACTGGAAATCAAATGCATTTAATTAATTTGCACTAGGAAGTAAGCAGGACTTATTAGTGGATCACTTCAGTACTCTGGGTGTGCACAGTTGGGATTAAATGAAGTGGATAGTTTGAAAACAGGACAGACATGTCTGTAAGCCTTGCCAGTAATCATGTGTATGTGGATATGGAGCAAGTGGGTTTTTCCCTAAAATAATATAGGTTAGGATTTTGCTACCGTGTTTGCAGTACATCCAGGAGTATATTTTTTCCTGGGTTTTTGCTGACATTGCTATTTGGGTAGAAGGAAATAAGTATAGATTACTTCCTCTTGGTGTTTCATGCTGTATAAATACAACCAGCATGGTCTAAATTGTGATTTTTTTGTAATGAACATGTGTATTACATCAAACAAGGGTTGGAAGTCAGTGTTCCATATGGAAGAAAACAGCTATTCTAGAATTTAGAAAGACCTTGATAAATATTACTTGCTGATTTATTTTTTAAATTTTAATCCACCTACGATTAACACATTTTTTGTTTTCTTACGTTATAGTCATGACAAAAGCTTTCTGACACTCATTTCTCTTGTTTGATGTCAATTGCCATTGTTATAGGAGAACTGAAATATGAATAGTGTGAAGCTTTGCCTTCAAAAATCAGATGTTTCAATTTTTTTGTGGTATATGACAGTCTTGCTTCATCTTCTGAGTTATATATCTGGCTAATCTGCTGTCATGGAACACCGTGTATGGCTGAGAATGGGTTTTTTGTGATGGATACTGTGTAGGGGACCCTCAGCTGCTGTCTGGAGGTAGTGGTGTCAAAATGGTCTTGTCTTAGATTATCAGTCTAAATAATAATAAATTTTTTTAACAACTTTGCTACACATATCTGGCTAATCTGCTGTCATGGAACACCGTGTATGGCTGAGAATGGGTTTTTTGTGATGGATACTGTGTAGGGGACCCTCAGCTGCTGTCTGGAGGTAGTGGTGTCAAAATGGTCTTGTCTTAGATTATCCAAGTAATAATAATTTTTTTAACAACTTTGTTACACTAGTCACAGATCTCTATACCTTTCATTCAAGAGGACACAGGTAACTAACTTGACTGAATGTTGTGTGTCTGTGTTCTGTTCAATCTGTCTACGATGAAACTTTTAGGTTTGGAAACAGTAAAGTACTCAAGTTGCTGTTTTCTGAAGTATGAAAGGGAATTTGAATGGTTAGAAGCTAGTTTTTTACCTGTTTCAATACTTTTTACTTCTAGTTGGTTTTGGTTTTGACATCTTTGTATTTAAGCACTTCTAAACTGATTCTTTTGTGAAAATGCTATTTAAAAAAATGGGAGATGGAATGTGCTTGACTTGTAAGGATAAAATGTAGCTGGTCATAGGAAGTGCTACACCAGATGTTATAAAACTTGCTTTGTGCATTTTTTGAGGCTTTTGTCTTTGTTTTGTTTTTTGGTAATCTTTTCTAGGAAAAGGCACAATTTCTAGAGTGCCTAAAGGCTGCTTAAAATGAGTGAACAGTCTACACTTTACTAAATCACTGATTTAAAGTACTAAGACACATAGTGAAAGTCCACATACTGATGCCAGTCATGACATAGATTTTGTTCTGGTTCTGAAGCAGCATTAGGGATACCAGAAATGCCTATTCAACTGTAGCACTTCAGAAATGCCCCTCTTAAAGCTTGTCTGTGTATTAATGTGCATTTGCATAAGCCTTTCTGATTCAAATACTATTAGTGCACCTCTTGAGTATCTGTGAAGGTACTTTTCAAATTTATAAGACAGGCATATAATCTGGAAACTTAAAAAAAACTGCAGATAGTAAAAAAAAAATAAAAATTTAAGACCCCACTGGATAGACATTTTTGGAAGTGATGTTTTTTGTAGTATCTGTTAAATGAATTTGGTGCTTGTAATGTATTGTTAGAAACACTAATGCTTTGTGTTATAAAATGTATGGTGTCTTTTTCAAGAGATACTTGTATCTGTAAAGGTTAAACTGGGAAAAAAGCTTTGGTAGAATCAACTAGATGGTAAACTGTTTCTTGAAACTTCAAATCCAAGATTTACTTGGTGTAAGCAGAGGTTTACATGGAATTCTTGTGAATTGAGTTCTTTTGAAAAAAAACTATTTGGAGCACTTACTTTCCCTGGAGTGTGACAGAAGGGGTAATTGCCTTGGAGAACA